TTGTGTCTATCTAATGAGATCATATACCAGGAAGTCTGCTTTAAGTTGTCTTTATGTGAGCATTATTACAGCCTTCTTATCCTGTGGCTGTGGTGTCTGGGCTTATCATTCCCTAGAACGTGGTCTTTTCCCCTTAATCTTATGTAACTTGTTGTTGCTGGGAGAGGACCCAGCAAAGCCTCTGTCCGTTCCGCAGCCCTGTCGTGTCTCCGTTCAGTGACGCTTTCTGAGTTGTGCTTCCATTCTCACCTTCCCTTTCTGAGTTGTTCCTCCCTCGTAGGCAGAAGTTCCTGTCCCTGCAGCTCCCCACCTCATCCCCCAAGTTGCTGTTGTCAATGTGATTCCATATAGATAGTTCCCCCCTACCCAGAAGAGCATAATGCCCAAGGGTGGTTCTGCTTGTTATGGAAGACTTAGGGGATGTTTTGGGTTTGAGGTTTAAAGATGATCTCAGGCAACGTTTCCACAGTTCATTCGCCCTCCATGACTCCAGAAAGTCTAGAGTTCATGAAAATGAGAAATTCTGTCCTGCGTTTCCTCCCTTTAAATCGGTGTTGTTCTATGGAGTCCTTGATCAAGATCTTCAGTGTAATCTGTCCTTCTTGTCTCAGGGCAAAGGGGGCAGTTAGTTGTTCATGGAGGCCATGAACCACACAGTCCGTATCCTGCTCCTCCTCCTCTCTGTTGCTGCAGGTTAATAGAGATACATTATTATGCCCCGATGGCTTCTTGCAAGCCTTTAAAACCCCAGGCACTAGGGACAGAGGTATAGCAGAGGCCAAGTAATGAGGATGTCCCAGGAAACCATGACCCTAAACGTTATTTCCTACCCTAGGTCTGTAAATATAACTACCACACCACTTTTGCCAATTCCATTTTTTATAGATGTACATGTACAACTTTTAAATCATAATAATCAGCTGTGCTGCCCTCAATCAATGCAATTTCTCAATCACCATTAGCTTTCATTCCCCCCTTCCTTCTATCATCTGGAGCTCTGGTGAGGTAGTGGTTACACCTTGGGTTTTGAGCCATATGGTCAGCAGGTGGAAACCACCAGCAGCTCTGTTGGAGAGAGATGAGGCTTTCTACTCCAGGAAACAGTGACAGTCTTGGAAACCCCCAGGGACACCTCTACTCTGTTCTGTGGGGTCGCTATGAGTCCGCGTTGATTCAATGGCAGAGTTTGGCTTGGGTTTGGCCTATCCTCCCATGCCTAGTAACCACGAATAAACTTTGATCTCCATACATTTGCCTTTCCTTTGATATATTATATAAATGCGATAAAATCATCTCCTTCCTTTTGTGATGGGGACTTATTTCTGTCAGCATAATGTCTCCATCTATATTGTCACATGTATCAAGACTTTGAGTCTCAATGATTCAGTTTTCAAAAGCTTTTTATTGCACATTAGGCGAAGGTTTTCAGAGCTGATCCTCAGTTTTACACTCAACGATTTATACCCCTGCTGTTTCATCTCACTCGTTACAATTCTTTCGGGGGAACTCTGTTTCCTCTTTCCCTTCCTCTTTCTTCTCTTCTCCAACCCACCTGGGCTTTTTACTCTGGTAAGTGTTCTAAGTGGTCGATTATTCTCAGGCGGCACACCTCATTAGTGTTGTTGATTTCCATATAGAATTGTTTGTTGTTTGGCTGAAGATTGAGCCACAGTTCGCTTCTAGACCTGAAGGGTTACCAAAGGCCAAAGCTCTCAAGGGTCCCACCGGTCTCCATCTGAGCACCAGGCACCGTCTCCTTCATAATTTCAAGCTTTGTTCCACATCGTTCTCCCACGATCTTTTCACGTGGACCTTTTCAGAGCAGTTGGTTGTGGGAGCCAAGCACCATCTGCTTCTTCTGGTCTCAGGGTCATGGAGACTGACCCAACACTTGGTTGGATGGTCTTACATATTTTCAAATGCACAAACATTTTCTCTTTCCATGAGGTTACGTAGGGCATAATGGTGCCAGATATGTATTATGCGTTTCCTGTACTGTCTTGCTCTGTAGCACAATCCCAATAGCAAAAACTCAATAAGGGAAAGCAAAGGACACCAAGTGTGACGTGGGAGGTTTGGACACTTGCTCTATGCTGTGTGGGAAAGGTTTTGACTCACCCAAGGAACTTGTTAAAATTAGCCATCCCCTGGCCCTAGCCCAGAAATTCTGACAGTAGGCATGAGACAGGGCCCAGATAATGTGACTTTTAATTAATTGTGTATATTGTTATAATTCATAACATAAAATAGTAATAAGAGGAGACAGTACTTGATAATCACAGATTTTCGTTGTGGTGGTGGTTTTGATAATCACAGATTTTGAGTAGGATGTTATAGTAAGCAATTTTTAAAGAACAAATTCTCTATATCTGCCACTTCTCAACATGAGTTGAGGTTGATTTGGTAGGAACCCTGGTGATGGGTGTAGCCCGGGTGTCAGGTTATATGTTGGGCTGCTAACCACAAGGTTGGTAGTTCAAAATCACCAGCTGCTCTGTGGGAGAAAGATGAGGCTTTCTACTCCTGTAAGGAGTAACAGACTTGGAGACCCACAGGGGCAGTTCTACTTTGTCCTACAGCATTGCTATGAGTTGGAATCACCTTGATGGCAGTGAATTTGCTGTTTTTGGTATTTTTAAAAGAAAATTTAAAAAAATTCAATGTAAAATGAAGTTAATAGAATCTTATCATTTGTATATCAAAACCTCAAATTCAAACTCACTGTCCTCGAGTCGATGCCAGCTTGTAACGACTCTGTAGGAGAAGGTAGAACTGCCTCTGGTTATAGGTATTATGAATGACAAGGAAACCCTGGTGACACCAACAGTTAAGTGCTCAGCTGCTAACCGGAAGGTTGGTGGTTTGAACCCAGGTAGCAGTTCTCCGGGAGAAAGACCTAGAGATCTGTTTCTGTAAAGAGTGCAGCCGAGAAAGTCCTGGGGGCAGTTCTACTTTGTCACGTGGGGTGCTGTGACTCCAAAGATATCAGATTGATGGCATACAACAACAACAGCAACAGCATGATTCATGACCATGACATCCTCCTTGTTCACGGCGGGAGGATAGATACAAGGTCTGCTCCTTGACGGCAAGTATTGTTCTTACATGTGAGCCTTGTCTTCCCAACGCACGGTTTGCCTGGAAATTCTGATCAAATTTCATGTTTCAATTGCTCTCTCATCTGGTAGCCAGGTAATCAACTTTACTTTCACTTGAAGCTGTGGTCTGTTTCTAGTTGACTTTGAATTCTTTCCATTCTCTCTGTCCCCCTCCCCTTAATACTGGGTTTGCATTGATAGTTCAACACACCTTCTAGATGATTCTGGGCAGCCTTCTGAGAAACAATATACTAGGATCCAATCATTCGGATTTTTCTGTATTAGCTGAATTCCACTTGTTGAACGGGAAAAGAAGAGGCGGTTTCAAAGAAAGGAAAGCAGAAGGTGTATGATAACAGGTGTCACGAGGTTGTCCACTTGAAACAAGTGCTGGCAGCTTGTTTTTGGAGTAGTGTTGAGCATGGTGTTGACCTTCTCAGTAGGTATGTTGGAAGAGCCAGTAGCTGTGTCTGTTGTGTACTAGCCCCTATGCTAGGTATTGGACATGTTTGCTTCATTTTTTCTTGGGCATGTTTGGGGCATCTAGTTATATCCCAACATATGCCCATCATAGACTGATGTTGGTAGCTAAATGCTATTTCCATTCTAGAATTATTTTTGGAGGTCTGAATGTAATTACGTGTATACTCGAGTATAAGCTGATCCGAAATTTTCAAACTAAAATTTCACAATGTAAAGTTTAGTTTGAAATTTTCAGGTCAGCTTATACTCGAGTATATACGGACTTAACTATTTTAGGCACAGGTCTTTTATAAAGACCTGATTGGAAGAAAAGGTTTTAGACTTGTGCCATTTCTTATTAGGATTTAAAATATCTGATGGTGAGTGTTACAGTTATGATTTTTCTCTGAGTTGTCTCCATGTCTGCTTTAAAATAACCTCTTGCTAATTGTCAGCAAGGCACCTTGGTGGGATAGTGGGTTACCCTTTGGACTGCTAACCATGAGGTTCCTGGTTCGAACCATCAGCCACTCTGCAGGAGAAAGACAAGGCTTTCTACTCCCATAACGATTTACAGTCTCAGAAGCCCATTGGGCTTCCCATTGGCCCATCCTATAGGGCTTCCAAGAGTCAGAATTAACTCAACTGTCATGAGTTTGTGTGCAATTGTCAGCATTATTCCCACTAACAGAGCCAGGGTTAATTCATTGCTGGGAAGAGATGAAAAAGTCAGGCCATCCCATCTTTTCATGGCCCCTTAGCCGGGTGGTCACTTTACAAGATCATGGAATCTGTGCAATGGTAAACTGTAGCTTGACAGGTGTGCCAGAGTGCTAATAATAGTCAGGAGTGCTAATAATAGTCAGAGAGTTTAATGGCTGGAAGGGACCCAGGAGGTGATTTTGACAGACTCACTTCAGGTTGGACCCAGGGCAGAAAGTGACTTGTCCCGGGCCTGTCTCGGGCAGGGCTAGTGGGTGGCTGGGTGATGGCTCTCGGGCTGCTCTGGCTCTCCCAACAAGAGGCACGTTAGTTAGCATTTCCTCACTGTGATTTATGTGGCATGCAGTTATGAGGAAAACCAACTCCATTTCCAAGGGCATCTAATCAATAGTCGACAAACAGAGATAAAGAAACTCTTATCTTATTCCAAAAAGGAGATGAAAAGCCGTGTAAAATGGACAGGCACGAAGAGGCAATAGAAAGGAGTGCTACGTCCGCATTGGCACCACTAAGTGAGAAACAGGAGATGCTAAGCAAGGGAAAGGTGAGCCATCAGGACGCACCATGAGAAACCCAAGTAATTATAGCACCCTCCTGCTGAAGCAGAGCACTGCTAGTGCCAATCTCAGACCCACTGGGGCGGATATCGGGGTGTGGATAAGACCGAGAGGAATAAACTACCCCAGACACTTGACAATGCATTGAACGGGCACTTACATTATATCTCGAATTACTTGTCTGCCTGGATCGTTTTTCTGCCAGTAGATCCTTGACTGTGTGTTTCACTCTCACACCCTGGTACACTCGTTTGCTGTAGTCACCTGGGACTGAACACAGATGAGAAGGAATTGTTAACAATCAGAGTGGCTTGACTACATTAACCTTTGGAGGGACATATTCAAGGGCATTTTGATGGTCTTTGCTCATGAGCGTGATAGGATTCTTGAATTGGAAGTGGTTTTAATTTCAACAGAAACCACTTAGCTCCCATCTCTATGACCTTCAGGTGAAGCAGCCCAGGACCCAGAGAGGCAGCCGGGGTTGTGCTAGCCTTTTACTGGGGACCACGCGGGCCGGTGGTAGAATTCTTGCTTTCCATGCAGATTCCTGGCCAAGGCAACTCAGGCACAGACCACCACCCATCTGCCAGTGGAGACGTGCATCGTGCCCCGGTGCTCTACGGGTTTCAACTTCGATTTCATCCTAAAGTAGACCAGGAAGGACGACCCAGAAGCCGGTCAGTGAAAACCCCTGTGGATGACAGCTGTCTGACCTGAGAACTGCTCATGGACCGGGCAGCCCTTCCTCCCGCTGTTCGTGGAGCTGGCAGCACACCGAGCAAGCACAACCTGAGAATTGCTGGTTCTTTTTCATTTTGTGTCTTACGATCGACTTCATGGTTGCCAATTCTAGTTTTGCTTCCAGAAGAAACAGTGAATGGATCTGTTCTATCTTTGACAGAATGATCTTCAACCCCTTGGGAAGAATGTTTTCTTTTACTCCAGGCTAAGGACCCTTGGTTCCTCCAACCACTGTCCTTGGGGCACCATCCTTAGACTCTACTCACCTGGTGCCTTCTTTCCGGTGTGGTGATTGATCAGCACAGACTCCAGCCAGGCTTACAATGTATGCTTTCATCACGAAGTAAAGGGCTGGTGTAACCTGACAGCATGCTACTCACACGACAAGATGCAAAGGTGAGATTTGCATGATCTGGGTTACAGAGTGAGCGGGTTCCTTCCGTCGTCGTGTTTGCGCTGATGTAAGTGTGCGGGTCACCTGATCTAGTCTCAGAAGACGATGTCGCTGGAAGCGCGCCTGCTTTCTGCTCACTGGTTTCCAAAACCCAGTGACTCAGTGTGAGGAGTTTGCGGCTTTGGGACTAGCATGGATAAGGGAAGAGCCATTCACTCATTCAACACACATTTATTGAGCATTTGCTGCATGTACTTGATGACGATTCTATAGTGCAGGGCAAGTTACAGGTATTGTTTCATTCGACCCATTTTACAGATTAGAAAACTGAGGTCTGGGGCTAAGTTATTTGCCAAAGTTGCAACCAACTGAACCCCTTGTCATTGAGTTGATTCCCACTCTGGCTCATATCGACTCTACAGAATAGAGTAGATTTGGCCCAATGGGTCACCTAAGCTGTACATCTTTATGGAACAAGTCTCGCTTTTCTCTAACGGAGGGGCAGGTTGGTTCAAACTGTGGACCTTGGGATGAGCAGTCCAGCAAGTAACCCACTACTTCCCCAGGGCTCCTAATGGTGCACGGTTTCTAGTAAGCAATGCAATTGGCATCCCGGCTTCTTGTAGCACTCAAAGTCAGAAAAACCATCATTTGATCATGAGGAAATGACAGAGAAATAACTACACATAGATAAGGTGACCAGACGTCCCACTTTTGGCTTGTCCCGATTTTTAACAATTTTTCCTGTGTCCCACGGCGTTTTTAAAAAGTCCCGATTTTTGGAAAGAATGCACGACAAGCTAGGATATGCGGTTTTCGGCTGCCATGTGGCTATTTCGCCAGGATATGAGTTTTACCAATGGTGTCCCACTTTTGTCCCGCTTTACCAATGTTAAAATCTGGTCACCTTACACATAGAGAAATACTTCCTCAAGGTTCTGCAACAGGCTATCCATAGGGATAGTGAGTTCCTTGTCAACGAACTGTTATAGAAACCCTTTAGGGACTGAATGAGTAGTTCAACTCAAATAACCTAAAGTATTTTTGAACTCTGAGATTGTTCTGTAGTAGGCTACATGACCCCAGAGCATTCTAGTGGAGGTTCAGCTGGCACAGAATTAAATGTCTTCTGCGTGGGGCAGAATATATGAATACCTGGATATTTTGTGTATGTGTTTCTCTCTCTCTCACTGCTGTGGAATTGATGCCGACCCATAGTGACCTTATAGGACTAGATAGAGCTGCCCCCATCGCTTTCTAAGATTGTATCTGTTTATAGGAGTGGAAGGCCTTGTCTTTCTCCCGAGGAACAGCTGGTGGTTTCAAACTGCTGGCCTTGCAGTTAGTAGCCCAGCATGTAACCAGTATGCCACCAGGGTTCCAGCATATATTTATACATATGTTAGGCATATAGCCAATAATATTTTCTAATTCAGCTGCATTTACTGATAGTCTAGGATGATATGTATGATTCACGGATGAAATCATTTACAAAAAGAGGGAAGGGAAGAAATCAGAACCAAATCCAGAGGAAAGGTGGTGTGTTGGATAGAAGAGGAGGCTGGCCTAGGAATCAGTGCTCACATGGTCATATACTAGCCACTGATTTGGGAAAATCAGATTCTCTCAGCCCCATTGCTTCATCTGTAAAATGGGTGTAGTAATCTCTCGCTAGCTGACTTCAGAGTGTTGTAAGAAAATAAGTGATGTGCATGAAAATGTTTTTGAAAGCTCCCAGCTTTATACAAAAGACCTGTATGAAAACAAGGGAGAAGAAATAGGAGGGGGCTTCCAAAACTTGGTGGAAAAATATCATCTTTTAATTCTATTTTCCCATGAAATTTTTGAAGCCCCCCTCATATTTCGGTTCCAGGACACTGTATTATGTAGTTCAAAGAAATCCACATTCAACCAGGTTTCAGCTTACGAATGTGTTTGGATTGTTCTTTTGGTCCAATTTTTACAGAATCTGAAATCGACCTACCTCTTTGTTCAAAGACTTGAAACACTCCTTTAGATAATCTCACATTGGAAGCAGAAGTGCTTCACGTTTGCTTCAGAGAAAAGTATGTGTTGCTCTTAGAAGGCACAGGATGCTGCCCAAGGTTAACTGAAGGAGCTCTGGCCGTGTGGTGGGTGAGGCATTGGGCTGTTAACCGAGACATCCCCAGGTGATTCAAATGCAATGCCCGTTCCTTGGGAGGAAGGGGAGGCTGTCTGCTCTGGTGGAGAGTTCCAGTCTCAGAAACTCTGTGTAGGGTCGATATGGGGGCTTCATACTCCTATAAGGAGTCACTGTCTCAGACATCCACAGGGGCAGTTTTTCCTCTCCTGCAGGATCTCCATTAGTTGGAATCCACTCGATGGCAGTGGGTTCATTTCGGGGTGTGGGGGGGGAGGGGCGGGGGAGGGGGTTGGTGCCCATGGGTGATCCCTACATTCATCAATTATTTATTGATTATTTTCTATTTGCCCTGCTTTGTGCCAGAATTGTGAATACAAAGAAACATGCTATCGAGTGGGTGAGAAAATACTTAACAAGATCAACCCCAACGCAAACTCATCATCATAAGTGCAGCGTAACAGCAATGCCCAGGGCAGTCAGAGAAACACAGAGTGGTGCCACGTCCAGGGGAGAAGTCAGGGAAGGCATGGCATTTTAAGGACGAATCAAGAAGCATGTGGCAATGAAAAAATAGACAAGAACATTGCAGGTAGAGAGAAAAGCAGGGGTGGAGGCCTGGGAGCAAGAACAGTAATGGGCGTGGGGGAAAGTTGCTGGAAGTGGCGCTGTAAAAAGCAAGTGAGGGTCAATTGTGACATTCGTGTGTGGGAAGGCATTTGGACTTTAATCTATAGGCAGTGAGCCACTGGAGACTTTCAAGCAGGGGAGTGGCAGGGCTAGATTTGCATTTTAGATAGACTTTTCTGGCAGCTGTGTGGAGGGTGGATTTGAGAATAACAAGGCTGCCGGGGCATCCATCAAGAGGATTCTAGAATAATCCAGGCAAGAAATAATGGGCTTGAGCAGCGAAGGGCAAGAAGCAGTCTGGTTAGACAATGATTTCGATGTGAGCGGTGAAGGAGAGGAAAGATTCAAGGCTGATGCTCAAGTCTCTATCATAAGATTGGTCTGAACGTATATGTTTTAGAACCACATCATGATGGCGACAGTGAAATCGAGAAAAAGGATGAAAATTGCTTGGGGGAGAGTAGGGAGGGTGAAATCACATTCTATCACCTAGAAAGCAATAATACATATTTAGCAAATGAGGATGAACAGACCAGGCTATTCCCAGAGTTGGGATGATGACTATCTTGGGGACACACACCCTTATCAACCAATTTTGACCCACTAGTTAGAAAGCTGTCAACTAAATGGCTACCAATGGAAGTCTTGGGCACGTTCACATTTGAATCACCAGCAGATGAAGAGGAAAGAATTCCACGAAGGAGACAGGAAGGAGCAGTTTGAAGAAAACCAAGGAAACCAGAGGTGTAAGCCAAGACACAGCCCGGGAGGAAGGAATGAAGCTCAAGGAAGGATGACAGAGTATCTATCAGACGCGGCAAGAGGGCCCAGAGAGAAACAGATGGAATAGCATCCCTGGCTTTCATTGAAGAGGCTGGTGTTCATCTTAGCCAAAGCAATTTTGGGATATTCAGGGTGGCTCAAAGTCATATCATCATGGCTGGTGGGGGCAGGAGTGGATTCAGGGAGGAAAGACGATTTCTTGAAGTTTTAGTGAGGAATGGAAACCAGCAAACAAAGCTCACTGCCGTGGGGTCAATGCCAACTCATGGTGACTCTATTGGATGGGGTAGAACTGCCCCCATGCCTTTCTGAGACTGTAACTCTCTACGAGAGTAGAGCGCCTCATGCTGGATAGTAATTAGAGAGACATGCAGGGGGAAGGGGGACGTGTTTGTTTTTAGTGTTTATTTATGTATTCAGGGATGAAAAGGACTTGAAAGTATTTGAACAGGATGAAGGGAGCGACTAAGGGTTTTGGGAAGAGGAAGAAGGTGACTGATGGGACCCGATATTGAAAGGGGATGAAAGAAATTGGTATCAAGGGCACACGTTGACGGTCTCCCTCTGAAACGGGAACGAAGAAGGGGAAGAAAGGTGGCCA